ATACATAACCACCGACAAAAGCAGACGTGTTTCACTGACTATTACATATTCGAAATAACTTTGCATTAATATATCATTTAAAGTCGTCCCTTTCAATAACACTATGGATTAAAAGCATTGTACGAAGGATATAAATATTTGCAACAAAGTAGGTACAGAAAAAAGATTTCCTCAGTTATCTCAATAATGAATTACAAGATCTTTTTTTGAAAGATACATACTGCCTCTGGTTTAAATTGAATAAATAATATGAGCATAAAATTGAAAGCCACTCTAATTCTGTTCATGGCTCAGAAAAGTATTAGTAGAAAAAAAACCAGATCAGTAGCACTACATTTCATGTAGTGCTAATAAAAAAGAAAGAGTTCATCGCATTAATATTCAGAATTTTTACGTTTCAGACAATGAATCAATTTCGGACCGTTGATCGGAAATCCCCCGAGAGGCTGGCTACAAAGTGTGCAACCTGTCTAAGTCTATTATGTCCATTTAAAATCCAAGCTTCGTCCGATCGATTGTTTTGATAACAATTTTTTTATGCTGTCCGAGTGCCAATGATTCCGTATAAAAGGAGCTGCTTCTGCCGACAAACTTTCAGTTCAATATCTATATCGAACAAGAATCGATCTTAGAATTGGGAATTTTAACATCTTTTTGATCAGTCAATAAACGAATTATCAAGTTTAAAATATGAATAAAGTAAGTATTATAATTTTGCTGAAGTTTTGAGAGAATCTAATTTCTCATCTAGGATAAACGAAATTAATAATATTCATTTACTTTCCCATAGTGTATCATTGGTATATTTGTGCTATTAGTAGCTCTGACCATTGTCGCTGCAGCGCCTGAGCCACAGTGTAAGTGATAGTTTGTGGAAGAATAACAAAAATTCAAATGGATCTAATCGTTCATCTTCTATTTAATTCATAGTTGGCGGTTTTGGCGGTTTTCCAGGAGGATTTGGTAGAGGATTTGGAGGATACGGTGGCCATGGGAGAGGAGGATATGGAGGGTATGGCAGAGGAGGATATGGAGGGTATGGCAGAGGAGGATATGGAGGGTATGGCGGAAGAGGATATGGCTATTATTGATAACACGACACACGTTGAATTCGTATTAAATGTAATAAATGTCAAATGAAATATTTGCTTCATTACTGAATAAAATCGTATTGTGAATTTATTAATAATTGCAACGATGATTTAAAAATGTTGATTTTTAGAATCACAGGGCGATCTTTGGAAAATTTGGTGTAATGATTGACATCGTCCACAATGTTTTGTTTGTTGTTTTCAAAATCGCGATGAATGGACGATCTCAAGAACGATATTATACGATTACAATTACAATCGCGCACCATAAATATATAGTCTGCAATAATTTCGTCTGAATTTTTCGTCGATAAGTTATGACGTAGTTTGGACCGTCAATAGGAAATTCCCTCAAAAGAAGAGTTGAAAAGCGTATACATCTTTCAAATTTCAATATTTAATATTCAAATTGATTATTATGCACAATTTATTGACCAAACATATGATTTATTTGCCACCATGAAAAAAAAACTAACCACAAAACAGGGCTTCGAAGTTCGATACCCTTTGATCATATGTCCTAAATTCTCTCTATAATGCGATGGTATTTTCAAGAATCACTGACTCTTCAAGAGAACGATGACTCCAAGATCCATTCAAACCACAAAGAATCGGTAGCAAATTTTCGAACAGATCGAAGCCTTGAATTTCGGATATGCGGCGTCAGAAAACCGGAATTCTCATAGATTTTTAGAAATCCCCAGAACGGCTCATTTATAATGATCACGGGATCATGTTTGAAACGTCGCATTCAGACAAATGCGGTTTTTATGTTTAACCAAAACTCATTGTTATTTTGCCGCCATTTAAGCATTTTAATTTATTAATCCAGTTTTGAATGACAAAGTGCAAGCAGCCTTATTCCAATTAATAGAATATTACATCACAAACGCTATAGACGATTTTTTTTTGCACTCAGAAGATGGTGCAATTAAGTTGCTCATAAAGTGATTTCATCTAAATTTTGTTAGTGTTTTCAGAGAGGCTTGTTTACGATTAATCTTTGATTTTAATAAAAGCGTAATTTCTGCGGCGTCACACTTCTTGGCCTTTCTACATATCGATCATGATAGAAAGACAATGCGCGATTTCGTCTACGTACAAAACTTGAATTCATGCTCAATAAATTTGTTTGCAATAATCGATTGTTGTTTACCACTTGCTTTTGTTTATTTGGAATCTTGATCAGGACATGACCGCAATTATCGCATTCAAACGTTTTAAGCTGATTCATTTTGGAAAAATAACCACTAAACGCATCGCATTAAAAAAAATCGTATAAAAAGCCAGGCAAAATCATCAAAATCAAACAGTTTTTATTGCGCAGTATTCGGAAGAAGTCGACACTTGGACAACATGAAGGTCGTAAGTTTTCGAATTTGTTCTAGTTGAGTCCATTTGAAGTGGGATTTATTTTAATGAACATATACATCTATATAGATGTGAATCGGTGCAACTATTTAATTCTAATCTATTTTTACATTTTTTTTTCTTTTTTTAGGTAATCACTCTCGCTGTATTTTTGGCACTCTTCGCATTTGCGATGGCTACGCCGGTGGATGATATAAAGCCCGAACAGACGGATGAATTGCAGACCGCTGAACAGTTTTATCGCGGCTATGGCGGATATGGTGGATATGGCGGCGGTTATCCCCGTTATGGTGGATACGGCGGGTATAACCGAGGATACGGAGGATATGGGCATCATTATGGCCACTACCGTCATGGTTAAAATCGATAATTCTAAATAGAAAGCAAAACAGAACGTATCAATGACAATTCACCAGTGAACCAATAAAATAAAAACGCAAACAAAATATCAACACATTGTTTCATTTTTAAAATGTTGTGTTGTTATAGGTTTAGAGTTAACTAAACCCATAATGAAACACGATGAAGTTGACTTTCTTGATACAAACACTCGGCGGACTTCATGAAAACTAAACTTTGCTCAAATCTGTACCAAAAGAGTTCGAGGTAAAATCAATTGAATATGAACGAAAGAAATTCATCACAATATATGTTTTCAGTTCATTTTTCGAAGCTTTTACCAACTTTTTGGGAACATAATATGAAGAAATTAATAGATTGACAAATGGAAGAACACAACAACTCTTACTTTAACCATTTAATTTTATTTATTTAAGCACCGTCGATTTCTGGCCGTCTGACATGAAGCAAAAAGAAGCGAAAATAACCAATATAAAATTTCTGAATTGTTATCAAACAAAGCATTAGCAAAAATCAACATTTGTCAGCTGATATTCCAAACAATCCACCCTAAAATATAAATAAACACATTTTAATTTACGGAAGTCTTAATATCACTTTCTGATTAGAACGAATAAGTTTTTATTGAAATTTGTTTCTGTTAGACTCGTGAAAAGTCAAATTGATGATGAAATTCAATCACACCGTTACGACCATTGACCGCATGCCACATGTAAATATATACCATGTGTGCGATAACGCAAAGCATTTGTTTTCGTTTAATGTACCTTCTGATTGTTGTCGCTAAATTCTTTGTGTAATGTTCAATGTGTGATGTTATTGCTTTTATTTTGGATGCTTGCGTCGTTGTTCAGTTTTTGCTAAATCCCGATTTTTATTCATGCACAGTTTTTATCAGCAAAAAAATCTTTTTTTTCTTTATTCGGTGACATTGACTGTGATAATTGAACATGACTGAGGCAAAATGAAACAAATGTAAACAAATGGTCGTGGTTTCAAAGGATGAACACAAAATCGTGCAACGTTTTATCAATGAATGCTGACGTTCAAGTAGAATCTCGGCCGAATTCGAATTGATTGGGTGCACGTATATAAAAGAAACCGATTCAATATTCAATTTAATATTCATTTAGAAACTGTTCATCGTTGTAACGATTTTTGATTTGCGAAAATGTTTAAGGTACAGTGCGATTAATTTAAATATTGCTCTTAGTTTGATTGTTGTGGCCATTATTTATTATTACGAATACTAAATCATTTATTTCTCGAAATCCTTTAGGTAACTTTGTTGCTTCTCGTCTCAATGGTTGCTCTGTTGAGAGCTGCTCCACTTGCTGAGCCTCAATTGGGTAAGAAAAAATACATTTGATGTACATGATTAATATGATTTCAATCGAAATAAAATCCATATTTATCTATAATTTTCCATAATATTCTCGACAGGTTTCCATGATCCATTCTATCATCATCATCATTTTGGAGACGGACTCTTTGCCCATGAACACTTTGCACATCATGCCTTTGGTGCTCCCATCGCTCATCATGTTGTGGCTCCTCCTTTTGTGCATGCCTCTCCAATAATTGCTCAACCAGGTACATTTTCATAACCCTACTGATGACGATAGTTATTTTTACAGCATTCCTGCGTAGTAATCTATAATTCAAAAAATAAATGATCCGTCTTATTGCTATGATCCAATTTGTATTAACATTTTTTTAAAATCAACTTTCAGTTGTTGGATACCCGGTTTTTTATGGCTAAACATGATTTCTTCGGAACAAATAAATTAGTTTTAAATTGATTGATTCTCCTGTGTAAATTGAAAATAAAAAAATGAAAAATAAATTGTCGACATTTTTATTTAGATAAAAGTTGCTTTGAAATGTACAATCTTATCATAGTAACTTATATGGAAAAACGCATGCACTTATTGGTGTCTTATATCAAATCCTGGTTGTTCAATTGGTTGCTCGGATGTTGATTCAAATAAGGCACGTTTAGCTTCTAATTCAGCGCCAAGACGTTGATGTTCCTGTGCAATTTGTTCGAAAAGTGTAAAATGTCTATCCTTTGCTCTTGCGACGGCCGCGCTGTCTGATGGCACGACAATGTTGCCCTATAAATAGAAAAAATCCGTGTTTATTACCATTCTTCAAATTCATAAACCAGTTATATGGTCGTCATCAATATTTACGTTGGCATTTTGTTCAGCAATTCGATTGTACTGCTCAAAATGTCTGATTGTTGCTTGTTTAACGGCTTCAGATTGGTGTGGTGCATCATCTTGGTGACTCAAGACTGGATGGAAGCCATATTTATCGGCCGTATATTCCACGGAACGAATCTCATTTCGCGGATCAACATAAGAGAATGCGCCACGAACGACGCCGCTTCCATCGGACACTTCAGCATGTGTACGATCCACATGACCTGGGAATCGACCGGCTTTATAACTGAATTCGTATGGATGTGGAGGTGGTGGTGGTGTCGATGTGGTTATTGAATCATCGTTGTATTGGGCATTTGTCAAGTGGGAGACATCAGCTGATGACAACGATGCGCTTATCACTAACAACTAGAAGGGAAAAAAAATGCAACAAATGCCAGAGTTAAAGTTTGCTCAATAAAGATCGCGATAAAATCGATTCCATTCATGAAATACGACGGATCAACTCCATCAATTATCGACGAATGCGATGGAGTTGAAAGGCGATTGCGTGAATTTGAAACCGGAATCGTATGATGTCACAATAAAGAGTGATTCACTAAATTCAATGAAGTAATTTCTATTTTTCCTCGGTCTGCATTGAATAAAGCCATTTGGTGCTGTGTGTTCAACGAAACTGGTTTGGCCGATCTAAAAAAATGTTGATTTCGTTATCAGCGTCAGCACATACAATGTCAATTTTTGGCAATCAAACTTGATCGCAGCCGCATTTTTCTGTGTATATATGTTTGCGTTGAGCGAATGAGATTTCTAGAAGCGCGACTTTTGAAGGTCATCGTGGAATTTATGGCATGCAAGAATGAATACACATATTTATCGCATTTCGAAATGACATCCAACGAAAACCGCAAAATTATTATTCTACAGTGCGCGCGCATGGCACTTTGTCGTTCGAAAAACAACCGAAAATATGCGTTTCAAACCATTTTATGATAAACTCCGTTTTCGATAAATTTTTACCAAACTCTTTATGTTAATGAAGATGTTAAATATCATGGTCTATGCGAAGTTGGGCGCATGTTGTGTTTGCTTCACGTATGAAATTGTTGCTAAAAAATCACGTAAGTCTCAACGTGTTCCAGCATTCGCATGCAAATAAAATGCTGTGTGCATTTCTTGCATTTGCTTGTGTTACATAACCACATTTAATACTCATCTGTTTCACTTTCTAACTGACATCGGGCTCTAACATCTGCTCAACTCACTTTTGATTTCGAATATTTTATTGCGTCGTATAAATACAATATTTTTTCACTCGATTCGACTACCAATGCAAAATGGAAAGGAAACGAAAGAAAGCAGCAATGTGCTGCTGTTTGTACTTACAATTGCAACGATTCCTTTCATTTTCTCAAAAAATTCGTTTTCGCTGAATTCCAGATAAATTTTTACTGTTGTGCTGGCAAACGTAACGAGTACACTGATGAACATTTCTGCTATTTACAAAGCGCCAAGCGGTTCACACGTATCGATTTTAACTTTGTTGTTTTTTTCCTCTTTTCTCGTGTTCGCAGAAACCGCCGATGATGTGATCAACGTCAACCTGTACCGGAGAGAACAACGATATACAACTGTCTATGGTATCCAAGTGCAGAGAGCGAGTGGTAACGTTAGCGTCGATTGACGCGTGTTGAAAGTAGTGGGCAAATGCATTTAACTTTCAATGAAAATGCTAATAATAGCGCGAGCGAATGCCCAAGCCAACTGCGTTTTCTCATATGTTTTTTAATTAGAAATATATGATAATACGTGGTTTTTTGTTTACACGTAATTTTAACTTGGTATTTTTGTTCATATTCTGTTGTCTACCTCACTTTATGGGCATGTTTTTGTTCGCTGCACCTTTTCGCCGTTGTACAACAAACGAGCCGAACAATTCGCCCGAATTTATACTATATTCCAAAAACTCATCAAATGAGTTTCATTTGATTTGTAACCGGTTAAATGAGTTTTTGCACAAATACAAACACACATGGGCGCTACTAGTTTGCAAACATAAATTGCGGTTGAATTATCATCGCCGCTTAGACAATCAGTCTGTTTCAATTAAAACAAACTGTTTGAATAAGAACTGTGGGATGTTGAATTTGCGTCACTTCCGTCTACTGCATCATTTCGATTCACTCACAAAAATGAGTACCGCATTAAAACTGCCGTTTTCACCATTTTTCTTCATAAATTTATCAACTGACTGAATTAAATTTTTCAATGAACATTCGCATGGCAAATTTATAAGCTTCGCTGTTAAACAATTAAATTTTATGCTTTTTTGTGTGCTTTGTATTTGCCAGCATAAAGCTACGGCGGTGCATTGTAATTTGGTATAGTTTTACGGTTTCGAATCTAAAGTGTGAATTTGAAGCATAAAACCTCCATGTGGATGCATAATTAAATTTATTATTATCGTTTTCAAACACATATGGAAATTGTTTTGCATGCATCGATGACGTGCACACCCGCAACAGCAGCAGCATCACTACCACCACCACCACCCAACAATTTATTCCATCAATTTCGTTTTAATGAAGCGGAATTCAATTTTTAAAATTCAATTTAAGAGCATAATTTTGATGCCATCCGCCACGACATACACACACACACCACGATGAAAGCACGTCGCGTTGCCGGTAAATAATTTATTTGCGATAAATTTATTTCATTACGTTGAAAATTCCGCATGGGGATGAAACTCGATACCAATCATTTGTTCAATTCATTAAGCTTAATTCGTTCGCTTAGCTAAACTCACTTGCTTTGGGTGTTCCCGGTTCTTTGGAAATTCGTTGTCGAGCTATTCAAACGGAATTAAATTTGTAAAACGAACTAGATTGAAAATCCAGTAGATAATCCAAGTATTTACATGGTCTGTAGCATCAAAGGCCGATTTGGGTCTATCTACGATTTCGCCTGATTGTGAAGTAACAACCAATTTTGTATTGTTATTTTGGGATTCGCACAAAAGCAATAAAATCGAAGCGATAATTGAAAATCGAAAATTGCATACAGCCGTTTTATATGTTAGGTGCTCGAGTACACAGCACAAATCCAATACGTGCAATGTGCACTATTTGTTTTCGCGAAGAGAGCTATGCAATGAATACGACATAACGAGAAATATGCGAAATTTTCCGTATGTAAAATATGTTAATTCAAAATTGTTAAGTTTATGAATGCTAAAATGTTTTTTTCCCTGCCTCTGCATGCTGAATCAATCATGACTTATGAAAAATGGTGAATGTCACGGAAAAATGTGCAATTGTTACAAGAGAAGATGAATATGAATTGCCGCTTAAATTACCCTTGCTATACTAGAAGCATTCATTTCACTGTTCTTAACATGTGTTTTTCGTCAGTGGAAATTGGATATTCATATTTCGAGTGGATACGGTTTGATCAACATTGCGGAAATTCGGTGAACGCAGTAAAGTTCGTGTGTTTGCCATTTAAATTCAAACTTATTGTTCTTGTATCAAACTTTATAATTTTACCGTTTGCAAACAAGAACATTTTGTTTCTATTTTACAGCAGGGAAGTTTGAGCATCGTTGCTTGGCTGTAATTGGCATGCTTTATCATCATTAAATGACTTTAGTCGTTATATGTATTATGATTAACCATTTTGCTAGCATCCATTGCGAAAATTGCAATGAGCACTTGTTTCAGCCATACATACAGTACAGCCATACAGTGGCAACCACGCCTTTTTGCTGTTTTTACATTTGCCATGTCAACAACAGAGATCTTGTGTCTGTGGATAATTTATGATTTGTGATTGTCATATTTATTTGTGAAGTGCGTTCCACTCGGTCCCTCTCCGATCGACTCGGTCTGGAGTGGAGTTTCGTTGGTGCGAGAGCTCCTCCCTGGTTGAAACTTTTTTTCATAATTATTTTATCCACCAACGACGTTGTGATATTATCTAGTGTCATTTATGAAAAAATTGAATCGAAGGGACGGAATGCAGAATTTATCGTTACCATGGGTGTTGTTGACACGTTTATTTGTGCTTCCAATTATCTGTGTCTGTGAGTCATCTAAAGAATGCTCACCTCTGAACGAAATTGTCTTATAAATCTATCGCGTCCTTTGTCCTTGATTAAAAAAAAATGCTCCAATAAAAATGTTTGCCCAAAATCACAGAATAAGCAACAATGAAAGCAGCCATAAAATGTAGCAAATTCTGGCGGTTTTGTGTTGAAGTGTGGAGTTTTCAATTGAGAAAACTCTCATATTGGTAAAGTGTGCACATTTGCATGTGGCCGAAATTCATGTGGAATTTCAATTGTTGCTACATATGGGATAGTTTTCCATGTTCGCGATTCAAAGAAGCGGTTTTTGAATGGAATCACATTCCGAGCTGCAAAATGGTAGCGAGCGGCAAAAAGAAATTCAAAAAGTGTTCGCTTCGAACATAGCAAACAACAATAAAACCGCATAAATCACATCCCGAGTTCAACAATAAACAATTACCTCCGACAAAGTCGTTATTACTGTTGGCCATATTTTCGTTGAATGCAAGCGATCGTTGTTTGCCTGCACAGTGCACACCACCACCACCAGCACTACCATCACCACAATTATATGCACATAAATTTGGGCGCTAAAACGAAAATTCGCCTGCATTTTGTTCATATCCTCTGGATTTTCGATCGACACAACAAAAGTACACAACGTTCGACTGGTTGTACTATTACGAGCCGGTATGTCTGAGTCTCTCTCTCTCTCTCTCCATCTCATTCGAAAAGTTGAAAGTTCACGATTGTCTGTCGGCATAGGCTTGCCATTAATCCACACAAAACAAGCCAATGCACCATTGCCATAAGTTTTTGGAATTTACATGTGATTTGTTGCCTTTGAATGGTTTTTCGGTTTTCGACTCGTTTGAGAACGAGCGGATAGTTTATCGGCAGCACTATTGTTCTGGACTGCATTCCCTGCATTCCCTGCATTGCAATCGGCCCATTCGCACCACCGTAAACAATTGGAATATTTTGCATCCTCAGCCAGAAATGGATGTAAGGAATGTTATTCTATGCATTTTCCACACACACATCCAAACGTAAATCCATAGTCGTGTGGGGTTCAATGTCGTGCTATATGCTATTACCATAGTGGCTGGGATATGGTAAGCCAACTATGTTTTTGACAGTTTTATGAAAAAAAAGTGAGCATTATTCTCGAGACAATATACGACAGTTTTTCCAAACGAATTTCAACTTTGGAATTTTTTTCGCTAGCAAATTTTCACGAGTTTTCCTACAGGTTTTTTTTCGCTTCGTTTCTTTTGTCATGTCGGTTGATTTTGTACAATGAAATACAACACCGAGATTTACCATTACTTTTGTATTTCAATTTGATTTCAAATGCACTGAAATAAGATTGCTCAACCGCGCGTTAGAAGAAATTGTAATCCATGTGATTGTTGCACGCTTGCACAATCAATTACACAGTTTATTTGGAGCTGTACGGTGCAGAGATGTCGTGTTGCAAATCGGTTCATTGTTGTAATCAGATCGAATGAAATCCAAACGGAAAAAAAAATCCTCAATGGGGTGACAAGTCAAACGAAGTCAGAGACCATAAAAAAATGTGCAGAATGTGGGAGACATTCGAATCGTCACATGGAATAAAATCCAAAACACGAAATGTGCCACAATAAATTTGTGTTTAATGTGCCTTACATGAAACCACAACGTGATAATAACCCATGGTTTATGACTTTTTCATTTCAAGTGCCCACATCGAAATTGTATAAATTCGGAAGTAAAATTTCGACTATTCAAGTACCACATTCAAATGAGTTTTCGATATTTTTGATTGAATTTCCAGCAGCAAGTGTTCACCTCGTTGCTTTCGATTTTATTGTTTTGTGCTGCGTGCATAAAAATTTAATTTTCCTAAACAAACTGCTGCAACTGCTTTCCCTTCTGGATTTCCGAATAAATCCTCCATTTTTACGACAACTCTCGGGTGTGCAACAAATGCAGAGCAGAGCAAAAGACGGTAAAAAATTGTTTGCATTTCGTTGACTTTTCACGTTTTCTTCCAGCCAATTAGCTTTCCTTTCCGTTGCAATTTCAGCATGGCTGGTGTGTTTATGCCATTTAAAATGGATCGAAGGATATCAAGTACACATATGACACGTACCGTGCAACCATATCACATATTAATGCAATATTTCCGATCCGTTTTTCTTCATCGTGTAGCGGGAGAACGACGCGTCGCTAAGCAGGGAAAAAATGAACGAACGAACGAGTGAGAAAGTTTGGGAGAAAAAAAAGGAGCGAGCAAGCGATTCAAGTAATGTGGCTGTGGTTTACGATGTCAAGCTATTCTGTGCTTCTGCAGTTGATAGCTATTCAATTATGGCCAATGCATGAGCGAATTTTAAGCACAGCATAATATGTTCATAACAGTTCATACGAACAAGCCACTTCGCAGTGTCTTTTTTTCTGCTTCTGATGCCGCTCCGATTTCGACCTCTTGCCTCTTCCTTTCCTCCTGTACATGGCATATCAGCGATGTATGTGTGTGTGTACT